TGGCCTGGGAATAGGGAGGGTTTTGGAGTGAAGGGCATGTTGTTGGTGGGAATAGGGAGACTCATAAAAGGGACTGGTTTTCCTGGGTTGGATGGAAGGCAGGGATTATCAAAAATTGACCTGGTAGGTAGGTGGATCTGCATTAGGAGGATGCTAAAGAAGCCTGGACCATTATAAAACTCTGGCACTTAAAATTATGTCAACATTTGCATCTTATCAGTGTTAGGTTTTTAAAAAGAGGTAGCCGAGTAAGAACAGCACCAGCACGCACGTGGTATTCAGGTAAGGGGTAGGTTTATTCAGTAGACCTGCTGGGACCAGGCAAGGTTGGCACTCCACGTGGCTGAGAAAGGCCTGGCAATGAGAGAGAGCTGGGGAAGAGAGGAAAGAGCTAGAAAAGAGCAGAGAGAGGGGTAAGAACAGTAGCACTCACGTGGTATTCGGGTAAGGGGTAGGTTTATTCAGTGGACCTGCTGGGACCAGGCAAGGTTGGCACTCCACGTGGCTGGGAAAGAGAGAGGAAAGAGCTAGAGCAGAGAGAGAGCAGAGAGAGCTAGAAAAGAAGAGCAAGAGCTAGAAACGAACAGAGAGAAAAAGAGAGAGTCTGGGCCTGGGCTAGGCCTTATGTAGGGTATGGGCGGAGAAAGGTGTGGCCACATCAAATTCAGATGTGACCTCAGCGGATGCAGATGTGACCTCTTCCAGGTGTTCCAGTTGCCTAGGTAACGCAGGTACTGGGTGGAGACTTTGCTGCGAGGAGGGTGGAGTCTGCTCGCCATCCAGGAGCGGACCTTACAATCAGAACACAGATAACCAACGTTACATGGTGCTTGATTTTTAATTTTGAGATTTATTTGTTTTCAGGATCCAACATCTCAAGTTCTTATAGGCCTTCAAACCAAGTTGAAGATCAACTTTTATTGGATGCCTATCAGATCAGATAATTTTGGTTTGAAGCCAGCCATGAAAGTTCATGAGACTCTATCTCCAATTTACCAGCAAAAAGCCAGAAGTGGAGCTGTGGCTCAACTGGTAGAATACCAGCCTTGAGTGAAAAAGCTAAGAGACAGAGGCTGGGAAGATGGCTCAGTGGAAGAGTAGGCTGTGGGTTCAATTCCTCAGCACCACATAATCAGAAAAAGCCAGAAGTGGTAATGTGGTTCAAGTGGTAGAGTGCTAGCCTTGAGCTGAAGAGCTGAGGGACAGTGCCCAGGCCCAGAGTTCAGGCCCCACAAACAACAAAGAAAAAAAAAAAAAAAAAAGCTATGACACAGTGCCCAGGCCTTGATATTAAGCCTCAGTACCAGCACCCAAAAAACAGAATAGCCTATTTTTTAAGTCAGGTGTATGTGGGTTTGTGGTGGTCACTGCAGAAGTTAACAAATTTTTGTTAATTTACATTCCCTTGATCATGAAATTAAGGGCCATCCATCTACTGTATAATTTTTTTAAATGCAAGTAGGCATAAGAAAAAGCAATATAACCCATAATTCTAGTACTTTCAAAGAGTCATTTGTAAACTTTTTGGTGTGTTTATTTTCTGGGCATATAAATCATATAATTAAGATCTTATCATACGTACACTTAGAAGGTCTTGTAAACATTTTCACACCATTAAAAATTCTCCAAGAATAATTCTGATGTCTGTATTTTATTATATGAATGTCATAAACATTCCCTATGATTTCCAAATTTTCTGTGTGACACACTTGGCCCTACTGTACAACTTTGCGCATATCTTTCTGGCCAGATATTTTGATGTTTTATATTTTTGGCACTGAAGTTTAAATTCAAGGCCTTACATTTGCTAGGCAACCATTCTCTACTTTAGCTACATCTCTAGTTCTTTTTTGCTTTTAGTTAGTTTTAGATAAGATTTCACTTTTTGCCTGGGCTGGCCTCAAACTTTGATCCTTCCAACCTCAGCCTCTGGAGTAGTTGGAATTACCTTCAAGAGCCTAAGAGAGCTCTTTTTTTTTTTTTGGTCGGTCATGGGACTTAAACTCTGCTTGGACACTGTCCTTGTGCTCTTCAGCTCAAGGCTTAGCACTCTACCACTTGAGCCATAGCGCCACTTCCAGTTTTCTGAGTGGTTATTTATTTATTTTTATTTTTTTGCCAGTCATGGTGCCTGAACTCTGGGCCTGGGCACTGTCCCTCAGCTCTTCAGCTCAAGGCTAGTGCTCTACCACTTGAGCCACAGCAACACTTCCAGCTTTTTCTGCTTATGTGGTGCTGAAGAATTGAACCCAGGGCTTCATGCGTGCAAGGCAAGCGCTCTACCACTGAGCCACCTTCCCAGCCCCTTCTGAGTGGTTTATCAGAAATAAGAGTCTCATAGACTTTCTTGCCCAGGCTGGCTTTGAACTGTGATCCTCAGATCTCAGCCTGCTGAGTAGCTAGGATTACAGGCCTGAGCCACTAGTACCATCCTGTTTTTTGTTTGGTGTGTCCCCACCCCCCACTCCACCCCCTTTGCCCCCTTACAGTGCTAGGGAGTATACCCAGGGTTTCTAGCTTGTGAGGCACTCTACCACTGAGCCCATATCCCTAGCCTAAGGCAATAGTTAATAAAGTTTGTTGCAAGAGGCAATACATGGGATTAAAGGGATAGCACCATATAGGGTCCAGAATCTAGGGTGATGAGAGAAGGGGGGGGGGGGACAAAGTTTGAGCCGGAGCTCCATATGGGTGTGGTGAGAATGGGGAGTAACTACACTAACAGCATTAGGACAAGTGGGTGTGGGGGCCAACAGCTCCCACAGGGAGAGAACAGGGAGAGGCTAATTGCTGCTTATAAATTTAATTATACTCACCGGAAGGGATTTCCTCCTCCACTTCCCTTTAGGTAAGATGCTCTATCCCTTGGAAATAAGAAAGATCCTAGCTTGATAAAATCTGCAGTTGTACAAATGGCTCAACTTCCCATCTCCTGATGCTTCCCTCACCTCCAAACTCCACTTCTTTGTAGGCCTCTAGGTGAACCAATTAGGTGTCAATAGGGACCCAAGGCCCAAACAGTAATACACGAACAAAGAGTAGTAACTACAGGCCAGACACAGCTCTAAACGCTTAATTCATTTTGAACCTATGGCCAGGTGCTGGTAGTTCCGCCTTAGCCACTAAAAATTGGAAGCAGAGGTGTGGCTCAAGTGGTAGAGCACCATTCTTGGCGGGGGGGGGGGGGGGGGGGGGGGGGGGGGGGGGGACTAAGAGAGTGCCCAGGCCTTGAATTCATTTCCTAGTATCCTCCCTACTAAGTTTACAAACATCTGCACAGGGAAGTAATTTCTTCAACACAGGTCAGGAAGTGCATGAGGTTTGAATTAGAACCAGACTAAAGTTTAACAACCACAGGAATTAATATGGGAAGGGAAGGCAGCATCGCAAGGCACAGCCTACCTACCAATGCTGCCAGAAGACGAGACCCAGGTGAAAATGCCCAGGATATCTACAGACAGACAGACAGACAGACAGACCACACACCCACACCCACACTGAACCCTGGTACATCCTAACAGCTATCATTGGACTTGACTTTGTTCCAGGCACTGTGCAAAGGGGTTTTACGTTTAATCTTCCAGAGTAACCCTTGATTCTTATTGCCCCATGCCATCTTAATGATGAGGAAGCTGACGCACAAAACTTGCCCAAGACCTAGGCATGGCCTGGCCAACCGCGGCGTGTTGGCTGCCCACGTGGCGCCTGGGAAGAGGCAAGATGGCGGGGGCGGGGCCTGGGCCGGGGGGCGGGGCCTGGGACCCTGCGGGACCCGGGGCTGCGGGGGCTGGCGCCGCGCCCGCGAGGTTCCCGAGGGGTCGCACCTGTTGCTTCGTTCGCCCGCAGTCCGGATCCCCAGATCCAGGGGCACGCCCCGCAGCCTGGCCGAGTTCTGGGTCCGGTCCCCCCGGGGAGCACGTGGGCAGCCCGCGTCTGGAGCGCAGAGCTGGGGGGCCAGGACGCCAGGGGTCTCCTGAGGCCACTCCGGCCACTGAGGTCAGCTGGGGTCCGCCCCCAGCCGGCTGGCCATTTTGAAAAACTGTCTTCCCCTTTCTCGGCGCCAGGGCTGGGGCTGGTGGGGCGACGTGGTGGGGGGTCTGGGCCCCATCCGGCCCCTCTCTCGCCGCCCGGGCTTCTCCGCGGTGCAGACCCTCGCGGGCGGCCCTCCCCAGTGCCCCCCACCCGCCCCGGGGCTCGGGCAGCATGGCCTCAGGTAAGTGTGACGCGGGTGCGGCGCCGAGGGGCTCGGGGACCGGGGTGACCGGGCGGGGGGGGGGGGCGCAGCGCAGCCTGCGGGACGGAGGAAGGCGGCCGGCTCTGGGGAGCGGAGCCCGAGCGTACAGCCTCGGCGGGGGCGGGCGGTGGGGAGGGAGGGGGGGACCCGGCAGGCCCGGGGCGCCTCCGCAGCCCCGCGCGCGCGCGCGCGCCCGTCGCCGGCTGTCCGCCCTGCCTCGGAGGCAGCTTCAGATGGACAGTGGAATTTTCCCGAGACTGGCCCCTCCCTTCTGGGCTGGGATTCTCAGTTCGGCCCCCTCCGCCCAGAGTTGGGGGGCGGGGGTCAGATGGAGAAGAAAAACAAAGGGGACGGGGCTCGGTCCTGGGGGCGCTGCGTTCCCCGGAGTTAACACTGGTCTGGCTGGCCCCGGGAGGAGCGAGTTCTCAGCTTCGGAGGCGCTCACGCTGAGAGTCCTGCTCATTAGTATTTCTCTCCCAGCCTGGCTGAACTAGCCTAACCTGGACTTTGGCTCTTTTGCCTTGGAGCCTTGTCCAGGATGAGGGTTCGGGGGCGAGGCGGGAGGCGGGGAGAGAGAGTTAGTGCAGAGTTTAGAGGCTGGCTCTGCCCCCATCTTCCCCCCCTTCCCCTAGCGCCTTTACCCCCCTCCCCAAACCCCCAGGGCCTGGCTACCTCGGTCACGTGACCCTGGGGGCTCCCGCGGAGGGGAGGGAATGATAGGGGGCAGGGATGGAGGCCCCACTCCCGGAGGTTGCCTAGACAACATCAGAAATCGTGGCCAGGGCCTCTTCCGCCTGCGGGGCGCTGCTTCCTGCATCAGTCACTCCCGCTGGGGGCGGGGCGGAGGAAGGGGTTGGATGTGGCTGATCCGGGCCCCAGCCGGTGCCGCTCAGGCTCCTCTGCTATATAGCCTTGGCTCCAGCCATGGCATCCTATCCATCTGGCCCCAGCAAGCCCAAAGCCAAATATCCCTTTAAGAAGCGGGCCAGCCTGCAGGCCTCCACTGCCTTTCCAGGTGAGTGTGTGCTTTATTGCTTTAGGCACCGGCTTACCTCCTGCCACCTCCTGTCCAGGCCACGCTGGACCCTCAGAGAGGGCACCCCCTCTTCTCTGCAGTGTTGCCTCTTGGCCACCATCCAAGGACTGGCTTGAGTTGTAAGGCAGGGAGACAAGGGAGGGGGTGTCTGAGGTTTCTGTGTCAGGGATGCTGGCCTCTCTGTAACAAGGAGTGGGCGTGGGTGTGGGTGCTGATGAAATGTGTGTGCACACGTGTTTGCGTGTGCAGATGCTAAGACTGCGTATATGGAGTGTGTGTGAATGGAGTGGTGGGGGTGTGTGGGGCTGACTGGTTTGCCGACTGGCCACGCTGATTGGTGCCTGTGCCTTGTACCAGGCAGGCTCAGGCTAGTCTCTGGCAGCAACTGCTTCCCTTCCCCAAGACTCCAGATCTAGAATCCCTCTCTGGCATGCTGACATCTGGGCCCACCCATTGCTAGCCCACACACCAGAGCTAGGGCTTCTCTTGACACTGTCTTCTGCAGTTTGTGCTTGAAGTCTCCTTGGGAGAGTGGGGTGTCCTTGGCAGTCTGTGTGTTGTATGCCTTGCACCTTTGGTTTGGTTCCCACTCCGGGCATCCCGCACCATTCAGAGTTGGTGGTATCCTGTGGCTATGCCCATCTTGTTTTCAGGGCTCTGTCTGTGCTTTCTGAGGAATGTCTGCTGCCCCTAGGACCTGTGCTGATGAAAGACCCACACTCACTTTAGTGCGGACCGGTTCCCTGCAGCTACACTTACCTGTTGTCTGCCTGTCCCTTCCTGCCATTAGAGATGCCTGGTTGGAAGTCTGTGCTGTCTTGAGGATCTGTGTTCTCTGTGCTATCCAGAAGGTGTGGGTCCTTAGGCTATCTCTCAGTTGCTTGCCTTATTAAAGCAGAGACCCAGGTGGTGAGCTCACCTTTTACTGGGGTCAAAGCCTTGGACATCTCTCAGTCCACTTGGCAATGAGTGAGAGGGACTCGATTAAGAGAGGGGACAATGAGGGATCAGAATCTTGGAGTGGGTAGAGTAGCTTTATGGGGTGTAGCCCCTGTTGGCTTTTGGTGGACTCCATTATGAAGTGTGGATATGTCATGATGCAGCCAGGTCCTAGGAGAAGGGACCAGCATGTGCTCAATCTTTAGCCTTGCCTAAGAGATCCAGAGGTTCCTGCCTGTGTGTCACCTCCAGTGAGTCTCAGGCAGCCCTCTGCAGTGGCTTGGCAGGCTGACTGCTAGAACTTGTCCTTCCCAGCATTGCTGTGGAGGTCCCAGGCCACCAGCTAGGAGGGGGCTCCTTCCTGTTGAAGAGCTTAGAAGTGGTCTAGGGCCATATGTAGGGAGGAAGCACATAGGGTCTGAGTTTGGGCATAAACAAAGGCCTTACAGCTTGAGCCTCGGCAGGTGCTCATCTTTCCTCCTTCTTTGTATACTCTTCCCTTTTCCGAGTGAGATGGTATCACCTCATTTCCAGCCCTGCCAAGTTTTGTTCTCTTCATTGCTTTTCCTGCTCAGCTGCCTTGACCCTGATCTGGAATCAGAAAACCTTCCACCTTCTTCATTGAGCATGGGCTCATGCATGACATGTTTTGGGGGTCCCAGGAGTTTCTAATTGCAGCTAATGCTGGGCTCAGAGCCTGCATCTGTCCAGAATACTTCTATAACATTTTTCTCTGTGAGCCGTGGGGCTGTAGCTTGTTTATAGCCTAAGCATTGAGATAAGCAGAGCAGAATCAAGTATCATCCCTGTGTGTGGTAGTCCTTTCCTGACGTTCTCTGGATAGACCAGCTGCCCCCACCTTGACAGTGGGCTTGAAATGGATTAGGTCTAGGGCCCATGAAGTCTGCCTAACTGTCCCTATCCAGATTAAGCCATAGGCCCAGCTGCCAATCAACTCCCTTCCAGCAAAGCCTGTCTCTCCCGAGAAACCCTGTAATCAGGGGATAGTGGTAGCACCATCTAGGGGATAGAGATAGGCAGAGGCGGCTGGCCTGGAGCTGCAGAGTTTGGAGAGGAGGAGGAGGAGGAGGAGGATTGTTCCCTGTCCTTTTCTCCCCTCTTGGCTAGCCAGGGCCTGCCTAGTCCTTGTCCCTTCGAGCTGAGGTTTAAAGGAGGTTTGGTTCCTCCCTATCCCTGCCTATAGCAGCCTGCCCTGCTTCTCCCCCTTGGGAGTCCCTTATATGGCTGGGCCTCCTTGGCATGGAGGAGGTTAAGGCGCTGTTAACTCTGGAGTTCCTCTTGTCTCCCAATTCCTGCTCTTTCCCTGGATTTCTTGGCTCCCCTGAGCTTCCCCAGCCCCTGTGGTGTGGTCATCTCAGGGTCTCCCCTGCTTGCAGCTGCACTTGGTACAACCCATGCCGGCCCCTGAGCTGTCCTAGGGGACCAGCTACAGCTTTACTCGCAAACAGGCAGGCAAGGGGCACAGGGCTGCTGGTCAGCGTGTCTGAACTCTGCAGGTAGGGTCCAGGCAGGGACCAGGGCAAGCAGGTGGCTGGGTCCTGTGTCTGGGGTAAGCACTTCCCTCTTCCCTTTGTCCACCCTTGGGACCAGACTTGGAGGACTAGGGAATGGGCACAGAGACCTTAAGGCATGCTACTTGAACAGAGCCATCATTCCTCCCTAGGGTCAGGGTGGGGGGGGGTAAAGGGTGCTAGATGGGAGCCCTTCCCAGCTGGATGGGAGAGCCAGCTGCCTGTTGGGGAGGCTGGGCTGCTGGAACCCAGAAAAGGTCCTTTCCAATAGACAAGCAACTTCAAGGCCTCACAGTGTCAGCCTCTTGAGAGTGCAGATGAAGAGTTCTGCCCTTGACAGAGGAGAAGAACCCCTGGTTCTAGTAGACCCTTCCGTGGGGCCCTCCATGGGGCCTCTAGCTCAGATCCTGGGGCCTCTAAGTGGTGTACACTGTTTGTGGCGGCTCCCTTTGGAGGGGCAGCCAACAGTGGGAGGCGCGGGCTGGGGCCAGGCCACATCTTGGCAGCCCTGGGGTCCTAGGGAGAGAGCAGGCCTCCAGAGAGGAGAGAGTTCCCTGCCAATCAAGTCCTTCTCTTGCCCAAGGGCTGCTTCGCTGGGTCAGAACTGGGTGTCTGCAGTGGCCTCCCCGAGTCTGTAGGTCTAGAACAGCAGGCAGGGCCCTGCCCTTTGTATAGACCATCCGCAGGTCTTGGGCAGGTCTGATCCTGGATTAGCCACTCTTGACAGCTGGCTGCTAAGGGTCTGGGGTAAGGCCCTTCACCAGTACCTGGTGGTATCTGTGTAGAGTGGGTTCTCCAAGCTTCAGCCCAGCTGACAGGGTTGTCGAGTGAATGAACCCACTTATTCCAAGAGTAGATGAAAGACCTCCACCCCTGAGCCTGGGATGGTGAGGGGGCCCCTGTGTAGACATGAGGGAGAGGATGATAAAGGGGCCCTGAGTAGAACGAGGGTGAGGATGATAAAGGGGCCCTGTGCAGATGTGAGGACGAGGATCTCGGGAGTCCCACTACTTGCTTCTCTGCCTCTGGAGGAATTGTCCACTCTGCGGGGACTGGCCTGGGGAAAACGGGCACCTGAGCCGTGCTCCTCCACCCCTTGACTGTGGCATCACTGTCTCTGCAGAGGCTCGGGGTGGTCTGGGGGCCCCTCCGCTGCAGTCTGCCCGATCTCTGCCGGGCCCCGCCCCCTGCCTCAAGCACTTCCCGCTCGACCTGCGCACGTCTATGGATGGCAAATGCAAGGAGATCGCTGAGGTACCCCCCGGTGCCCACGCCCCTCGCCCTGCACCCTGCCTCTGCTCCCACACCCTCCACTTACCTCACGCTTGGCTGTCCCAGATCCTCAGTCTTCCCAGGAACCCCGGCTCCTGCTATCCTGCTGTTGTACCCCATGTCCAGGCTCTGCAGGGGAGGGCCCAGGGCAGAGGATCTAGGGACCAGGCCACCTGACCTTTCCTCCTTCCCAACCCCTTCCCACCCAGGAGCTGTTTAGCCGCTCACTGGCTGAGAGTGAGCTCCGCAGCGCCCCATATGAATTCCCCGAGGAGAGCCCCATTGAGCAGCTGGAGGAGCGGAGGCAGCGGCTGGAGCGGCAGATCAGCCAGGATGTCAAGTGAGCCAGGCTGCCAAAGGGCAAGCTGTAGTCTGCCTAGAATCCTGTGCTTTCCTCCTGGGGGGGCGGGGGGAAGGGAAGGGGAGGGAGAGTGGTCCCGGGAGGCAGTGGAAAGCTCATTCTTTGGAGCCAGACTACTGAAGTCTGCTTAAATTCTAGATTTGTGTGTCGTCCCATGAGGACAGGTGACACTCCTTGTAGGCCACTTAGCACAATGCTGGGAGCTGGAGCCGCTCCCCTTTCGCTTTGCCCAACCCCTTGTCCCTCTCACCTCTAGGCTGGAGCCAGACATCCTTCTTCGGGCCAAGCAAGATTTCCTGAAGACAGACAGTGAATCAGACCTCCAGTGAGGGCAGAGGGACACGGAGAGCAGTGGGGAGGAGGCGCTGGGGCCCGTCCTGCTCTGGGCACCCATCCCTCACTGCACTCCTCCCTTCCTCTAGGCTCTACAAGGAGCAGAGTGAGGGGCAGGGTGACTGGGGCCTGCGGGAGCGGGATGTGGCACTGGAGCGGGAATTTCAGCGGGTCACCATCTCTGGGGAGGAGAAGTGTGGGGTGAGTATAGCGCTGGAGCTGGGGTGCCGGCTGAGAGGGTGCTATTCTTCTTAACACCTGGAGGAGTGGAGAGTCTGGCTGGGAGGCCCCTGGTAGGCTAGGACCAGAGTGAATGGAGTGTTTCTGGGGTCAGAGCTTGTAGGAGATGAAGTTTGGGGAAGGCCATGAGGCAGCAGGAGAGCCTGAGTTAAGTCAGATCCCAAAGAGTGACATCAAGTCCTCTTTTTTTTTTTTTGTCTAGTCCCAAGGCTTAACTCAGGGTCTAAGCACTGTCCCTGATCTACTTTTGCTCAAAGCTAGCACTTTACCACTTGAGCCACGGTGCTACTTCTGTCTTTCTCTGTTTATGTAGTACTGAGGAATCAAACCCAGGGCTTCATGCATGCGAGGCAAGCACTCTATCACTAAGCCACATCCCCAGCCCTACCGTGTCCTCTTCTCCAGGTGCCATTCACAGACCTGCTGGACGCAGCCAAGAGCGTCGTGCGGGCGCTCTTCATCCGGGAGAAGTACACAGCTCTGTCTCTACAGAGCTTCTGTCCTACCACGCGCCGCTATCTGCAGCAGCTGGCAGAGAAGCCCCTGGAGACACGGACCTATGAGCAGGGCCCTGACACCCCTGTGTCTGCTGGTGGGACCCCCATCCCTGCCACACCCCAACCAAGTTCCCAGGTCTCCTGGGCACTTGAACTTGGGACCTGAACATCTCCCTATTGCCTACTTTTCTTACCCTTGGCCTCAATCCAGCATCTTGGAGCCTGGGAGGGTGGAGGTTGGAGCAGGAGCTGGGACTGTCAATGTCTCTTGCTCTCTGTGAGACCTCTGGGGATGACTTCTGTCTTTCTGCCTTTGCAGATGCCCCAGTACACCCCCCTGCACTGGAACAGCACCCATACGAGCGCTGTGAACCAAGCACCATGCCTGGGGACCTAGGCTTGGGTCTGCGCATGGTGCGGGGAGTGGTACATGTTTATACCCGCCGAGAACCTGATGAGCAGTAAGAGGGGTGTGGCACGTGCTTGGGGACACTATGTGGGAGGCTCCATTGGCTTGGGGGAGGGCTTTGGGCCTGGTTTACCTCCCTCACCCCAACTCCCTACATGCCAGTTGTGCAGAGGTGGAGCTGCCATACCCTGACCTACAGGAATTTGTGGCTGATGTCAATGTGCTGATGGCCCTGATCATCAATGGTCCCATGTGAGTCTCCACCTGTCCCATTCAGCGCCCCTCCCTGCCCAGATTCTCCAGCAAGAGCCCTACCCTGCCTCAGATACCTTTCGCCTGAGCTCATTCTGCTCCCTAGATACCTGACCTCCCGGTGGCCCCCACCTTATATTCTCCAGCCTTCTCTGGGTCTGCTACCTGGGCCCACTCAGGTGCTTCCTCTAGGACCTGAGTTCTACCTTGCTTTCCTCCTTTCTTCTGCCCAGAAAGTCATTCTGTTACCGCCGGCTGCAGTACCTGAGCTCTAAGTTCCAGATGCATGTGCTGCTCAACGAGATGAAAGAGCTGGCTGCTCAGAAGAAAGTGCCACACCGAGACTTCTACAATATCCGGAAGGTGGGCCCTCTGCCCATGGCCTCCTGCGGATCCTGACCCTGCACCCTCCTGTCCAGGGCCCGAGCCATCCCTCTGGCATCCCTTCCCCATCAGCCCGCTGTGCTCAACCTGGACCTTCTCAGTCTCTGATGGACCCAGCAGCCCTGTTCTATGTGTTCCAGGTGGATACGCACATCCACGCCTCATCCTGCATGAACCAGAAGCATCTGCTGCGCTTCATCAAGCGGGCCATGAAGCGGCACCTTGAGGAGATTGTGCATGTGGAGCAGGGCCGTGAGCAGACGCTGCGCGAGGTCTTCGAAAGCATGAATCTCACAGCCTACGACTTGAGCGTGGACACACTTGATGTGCACGCGGTCCGTGCCTGCAGCCTGGCTGGAGGGGGTTGGGTCAGTGCAGGGGTTGGGGATCAGGGATAACCTAAGCTTGCCCATCTCCCCCAGGACAGAAACACCTTCCACCGCTTTGACAAGTTCAATGCCAAATACAACCCCATTGGGGAGTCTGTCCTGCGAGAGATCTTCATCAAGACTGACAACAGGGTTTCTGGAAAGTACTTTGCTCACATCATCAAGGTATGGAGGCAGAGAGCCTGTGTGAAGGGAGGGGGGGGGGCTCATTTGATGAGGAGAGCGAAGAGGCCTGAACAGGTCTCTGGAGCAGTCCTGGTAGAGCCTCTACGTGACAGTTTCCCCCCACCTGTCTAGGAGGTAATGTCAGATCTGGAGGAGAGCAAATACCAGAATGCAGAGCTGCGGCTCTCCATCTATGGACGCTCAAGGGACGAGTGGGACAAGTTGGCACGCTGGGCTGTGACGCACCGAGTACACTCTCCCAATGTGCGCTGGCTCGTACAGGTGCCCCGCCTCTTGTGAGTACCCCTCCGAGCCGCCATTCAAGGTACTTGTGCCTGCCTCCTGCCCGCCTGCCTCAGCTGAGCCCTCTTTTTTAAAAAAATGTTTTTGTTATTACAAAGGTGATTACAGATTGGTTACCTACATAAGTCAACTAAAGAATTCTTTTCTTGGCCTGGGAAGGTGGCTCAGTGGTAGAGCGCTTGCCTTGCATGCATGAGGTCCTGGGTTCGATTCCTCAGCACCACAGAAGCAGAAAAAGTGGAAGTGGCGCTGTGGCTCAAGTGGTAGAGTGCTAGCCTTGAGCTGAAGAGCTGAGGGACAGCGCCTAGACCCAGAGTTCAGGCCTCACAACCGACAAAAAGAAAAAGAAAAAATTCATTTCTTTTTGGACAATGTCACCCCTACCCTCACTCCTAGTTTTTCCCTCCTATCCCCACCTACAAGTTTTTTGTTTTGTTTTGTTTTTTGGGTCCGGTCGTGGGGCCTGAACTCTGGGCCTGGGCACTGTCCCTCAGCTCTTCAGCTCAAGGCTAGCACTCTACCACTTGAGCCACAGCGCCATTTCCGGCTTTTTTCTTTTTGCGTATGTGGTGCTAAGGAATCGAACCCAGGGCCTCAGGCATGCAAGGCAAGCGCTCTACCACTGAGCCACCTTCCCAGCCCCCCCACCTACAAGTTTTGTAGTTCATTTTCAACAGAGTGTCGTGTGAGAACCAGCCTCCCTGAGGCTCTGGTGGAGGGGGGCAGTCCACCCTATGCCTACTAGCCGTATTACACTACCGACAACATTTGCTCCTCTTTTGTCCCTCCATTTCTGTGCCTTCTCTTACCTACCCAAAGACATATATAAATGAACAAAGGAGACCAAAAGAAAAGAAAGCATAAACATGAACAAAGAAAAAAGCCTCTTGTTTCCATTTCCAGAAGTTCGTCTCGATAAATGTTTTGTTATGATCAGATGCACATAGACATTGCACCTCTGTGTTCCTTCTCTGAGAGTATTCTCCTTTGATTTCACTGTGTGTGAATGCCTAAAGTCCTGTACAATTTATCACAACCTAGCGTATTTTAGATCTAGCTTCCATATATGAGAGAAAACTTAGTCCATTTATCTCTCTGAGCTTGGCTTAACTCACTTAACATGATTTATTCCAAGTCCATCCATTTCCCTGCGAATGACATAGGAGTATTCTTTCTGATCCATCCGAGCCCTCTTGAGTGTTAAGGAGGGACTTCCCAGGCTCATCCACAGCCTGGCCTGCCCTAACAAGCCTGCTCTCCATGGCTCTGGCCGTCTGACCCTTCCTGGGCTTCCTGATTGTCTCCTGTTGGCCTCACTGCACTGGTTTGTTTACTGTCTTAACCTGCAGTGATGTGTACCGTACCAAGGGCCAGCTGGCTAACTTCCAGGAGATGCTGGAGAACATCTTCCTGCCTCTGTTTGAGGCCACCATACACCCCGCCAGCCACCCAGAGCTGCACCTTTTTCTGGAGCATGTGAGCAGCAGCATGGTTGGGGGGAGGGCGGGCAGCCAAGTGCAGGCCCCATCCACACGTCTGGGGCTGACCACTGGTTCCTGTGCCAGGTGGACGGTTTTGACAGTGTGGATGATGAGTCCAAGCCCGAGAATCATGTCTTCAACCTGGACAGCCCTCTCCCTGAAGCCTGGGTGGAGGAGGACAACCCCCCCTACGCCTACTACCTGTACTACACCTTCGCCAACATGGCTACCTTGAACCACCTGCGCAGGTACATGCACCTTCCAGTGCTGAACCTCTGCTCACTGTGGGGTCCGCCCATCAGACCTCACCCTGGGCTCTCTGGACTAGGGACTCTGTGGACCCTGACCTTTAAGCCCAGGCCGATTTGATTCTTGTCTCTGCTCCTGGGCCTCACCTGTAATCCTTCCTAGCCAAGGATCCATCCTTGCCTTCTAATCCCACATCAGCAGAGTCACTTTGGGTGTGGGGCATGCTGGGGTTAGGGCTGTGAAGCTGAACCTGTCTTCACCCCCCCAGGCAGAGAGGTTTCCACACGTTTGTGCTGAGGCCGCACTGCGGGGAGGCTGGGCCCATCCACCACCTGGTGTCAGCCTTCATGCTGGCTGAGAACATCTCCCATGGATTGCTTCTGCGCAAGGTCAGGATCTGCACCCCAGCTTCTCCTAGCCATACACCTTCCTTTGAACCCTTTGGGCCCCTTCCACAACCAATGGGCTCCTCACCCAGCCCCTCACATAAGTGGTATTCTGCACCCCCCAGCCTCTACTCTGGGACCCCAGCCTAGATTCTGTTTAGAACCATTCTCACACTGGGTCCAACATGGACCCAGTTGTGTCCTGGATCACCCAGATTTTCCAGCTTCAAATCCGCCTGACTGCTCTTCCCTTTCACCTGCACAGGCCCCTGTCCTGCAGTACCTGTATTACCTGGCCCAGATCGGCATCGCCATGTCCCCACTCAGCAACAATAGCCTCTTCCTCAGTTACCACCGGAACCCACTGCCTGAGTACCTGTCTCGTGGCCTCATGGTCTCATTGTCCACAGATGATCCCCTACAGTTCCACTTTACCAAGGTCAGAGCCCCAGTAAGCTGCTATGCTGTAGCCTCTGGCCCTGGGGTCTCTCTGGGCTGGCACTGCCCCCTGCTGGTGGAGCACTGCAGGCTAAGTGGCAAGTCCTACAGGGGAGGGAGGGGCATCAGGTCAGGGGACCTGGTTAAGGAATTTTGGCCTGTGCCAGGAGCCACTTATGGAGGAGTATAGCATCGCCACTCAGGTGTGGAAGCTCAGTTCCTGCGACATGTGTGAACTGGCCCGAAACAGCGTGCTCATGAGCGGCTTCTCCCACAAGGTATCGTGCTGGCCCACTAGAGGCAGGCTTTCCCCTCTTCTTCATTTAGGGTCCAGGCTTCATCGATAGGTTGATTGGGAGCCGGTTGCAGCTCTGCTCCTTGCTTGTGTCTCCTGTAGGTAAAGAGTCATTGGCTGGGACCTAACTACACCAAGGAGGGTCCCGAGGGCAATGACATCCGCCGCACCAATGTGCCGGACATCCGTGTGGGCTACCGCCACGAGACTCTCTGTCAGGAGCTGGCGCTCATCACGCAGGCCGTCCAGAGTGAGATGCTGGAGACTATTCCAGAGGAAGCGGGCATTGTTACCAGCCCAGGGCCTCAGTGAGCCTGGCCCATCTTACACCTTGATCATGCCTTGTTCTCAGACCCCTCGCGCCCTGATGTGGTCTCTGCATGTCTCCGTTGCTTTTTTCTTTGTTTCTGTCCTGCATGTCTCTTGACCATGTCCTGTCCCTGGGCCACCTCAGTGAAAATGACATCCAGGAATCTTCTTTGCCACTGTCTTGGCCCAGATGGTGCCTGATAGCCAAGATTTAAGGGCTGGCCCGGCTGGTGGCTCTGTGCCAGCATTCTCAGAATTCTGTCTGGCTGTCCTATGGTGTCTTCACTGTCTATAGGGGAGCAGGGAGTGGAATGGCTGGGTGGGACTGGCCCTTCTAGCCTCTCAGGTCCTACCTGGGCAAATTCCAGTTTTATCTGGAGCTGAAGTTCAGTTCCCCCTACCTTGTAGATGCGACTGAGGGGAAGGTAGGGGGCCTGTGCATCTCTGCTGTGCTCAGGCTGCGGAGACCCTGGGGGGCTCCAGCAGCTTAGCACTGTGTGGATTTGGGCTTGAACTTGCTCAAGGCTCCAGATGCCGCCAAAGGGATGGACTTAGACCGTAGAAATGCTGGACCACTGCCTGTGCCAGTCTCTGCCCAGCAGCCTTCTCCATTCTTCCCTGGCCCACATGCTCCTCCTCTGGTGTCCGCTTCTGTGCCTCTGTAGGAGGGGCGGCATCCCTGTGCTGTCTGGGCCACTGCAGCTGGAGGGTGCTGGATCTTCTAGTAACCCTGGGGGTAGTTTCCCCTTTGTGGTCCCCAGATCTCTGACCAGACCCCAATCCCAGTTGGCCCCTGTGTTGTGTTCTCCACTGAGGCCTTTGCTGTGAAAAGCAGTGTTTGATATGACCCATCTTTCCTAGTGCATGAGAAATAAAGACTATTTAAGTAATGTGTTGGGTGGAGTGTCTGTTGGAAGAGGGAGAGCTGTGGTATGGGGGCAGGGCCACTCTGGATAGAGGTAGCATGTGTACATGTGCGCATGTGTGTGTGTGTGAGAGTGAACAGGGTCTTGGTGATGATGTTCAGGTGAGTCTCCAACTTTCTGTCCTGCCTCAGCCTCCTGGGTGCTGGAAGTACAGGAATGTGCCAACATGCCCAGCAAGCGACAGGAGAGCTGCCGGACGTGTATGGCATATGGGTGTGCACCTGACAGCTGTAGGAGAAAGGAGATAACCCAGTCATCCAGCTTTCCTCTGAGGAGGACCTCTCAGGCCCCAGGTGGGGGTCATCCCTGTCATACCAGCCTGGATGAAGCACTTCATACCACCTGGCACTTCTTTGTACTTCCAGATAGATATTTGGCACTTTTTACACCATGCTTAGCTGGATGGAGGCAACTGGAACGGGTTTCCTACAGAACCTGTTTCCACTGCTCTTTGTAAGGCTCTGAGGTAGGACGTGTGGCCACAGACCCAAGAGCTCTGAGGAGTGGGTGATGACAAGGGTCTAGAACAAGCGATGTGTTCAGCCTTACGCTGTCTGGCAGCATCTCCTTGCTTCCAAGGTTGCTGGAGTTGATTGTCACTATACAAGAGGCTGGGGATGTGGCTCAGGAACCAGAACACCTGCCTAGTGAACACAAGGCCCTGAGTTCCATCCCTAGTGTCACAAAGAGGAAGCGATATGTACCAAGCTGTACACAGATCCATGTAGGTGACAGAAACCTGTGGCCTGCTGTTTGGTAGGGATGCCCTGCCCAGTGTAGTTGGGGGCTTGGCTGGGGACATCCAAGGAGGAAGGTGGGCTTCTCCTCTGCCCCAGGTCAGAGGCCCTCCCTCCCTCCCTCCCACAGAGGCCTTGCCCCACTCCCTCCCCTTGTCAGAGGCTAATCTCCCTGCCCCCTTCCCCACCCCTCCCCACCATTGCCTCTGCAGGTTACCTACTCACCTGCTAAAGGTTATAGCTAGGCTTATTGGCCAGGACCCTTTGGGGGTACAGAAGATGTGTTGCCAATATCAGAAGAAAATGCTGGAGCTTGGGTGAGTCGAAGGCTACAACATTGGCCAATTTCTTGCTGAAGAAACTGACAGAGGTAAAAATGGCCAGTGGCAGAATCTAGATGTGCTTGGCATCCAATACTCTCTTCTTCCCCCCCTCAGGCCTTGTCTGACCCCCAACAATGCTTTTTGAAGATGATGGAAGCTGGCATTTCAAAGAGGTGAATACATCTAATGGTACAAAACCACTCCTTTGTCAAACAAGCAAGCTGGTTGAGACCTTGCCTTGAAGCAAGGACTGCTTGTCCATGACAGCTCTCAAGACTTTGCTAAGAAGTGGGCACTCTATATTTACACACTGAATAAATCTGTCATTTAATCGAGTCTTTTGTTCATTTTCTTGTCCTCTGGTTTTCTCAGTTTGTTCTGAGGTCTTGCCCTAAGAATATACTAATGCAGAGTTTCTTAGCAACCTCTCCACAATGTTTGTGATCTCCAGTTTTCTCAGAAGTTTCTTTCTAATGTTTACCAAGAGCAAATAATCTTAAATCCGGATCTAAAAAGAAAATAATACGTGCTAAAGAACATGGAGAAGTACAGAAAAATTTGGAAGAAAAAAATCCACTAACAATCTTCAGTTCAACGAAATGCAGGTAACCTGCATGCTTAAGATTTATGTATATATGTGTGACACATTTTATATGTTTACATCTTCTTTCTAGTTCTTTTTCCAAAGAATTTTAGAAAACACTATTTTTTTTTTTTTTGGCAGGGTTTTCTGTGTAGCCCAGACTGTCCTGGAACTTTCTGAACTGCTGCAGCCTGCCAAGTGCTGGGATTACTGATGTGAACCATGCTGGATATTTAAATGGCTTTTCTTTTTCAGTTGAGGTGGTATATGTATTAATTTTGCATTTAAAATAATTTTAACATGTATTCCTTATGAAATATTCTACAAATTGATTTAAAAACTTTATAACTATACATTTAACTAGACTGCCTTGCCCCATTTGTGAGCCTCACCACGATTTACCATCCTAGATCTCTGTTAAGAATAACTATAAGCCAGGCACTGGTGGCTCATGCTTGTAATCCTAGCTATGCAGGTGTCTGAGATCTGAGGATCGGGGTTCAAAGCCAGCCCACGTAGGAACGTCCATGAGATTCTTACCTCCAATTAACCATTCAAAAACCAGAAGTGGTGCTGTGGCTCAAAGTAGTAGAGCATTAGCCTTGAGCTGAAAAGCTCAGGGACAGGGACAGAGTTCAAGCTCCATGACAACCAAAAAAAAAGTAACTATAAAGCCTGGCACTGGAGGCTCACTTGTATAATCCTAGCTATTCAGGAGGCTGAGATCTAAGGATTGTGATTTGAAGCCAGCCATGGCAGGAAAGTCTGTAAGACTCTTATCTCCAACTAACTACCCCAAAACCAGAAGTAGAGCTGTGGACTCAAAGTGGAAGAACACTATACTTGAGTATAGTGTATAGTATAGCCCCCAGGTCCTGAATTCAAGTCCCAGCACGCGCACGTGCACGCGCACACACACACACACATTAATAAACTATACACCAGGCTCATAACTAATACATGGGAAACAGAGACACATAACTTTAATACATGGGAAACAGGATCAGAGTTCAAGGCCAGTCTAGGTCAAATAGTTCAAGAACCCAATTTATGAGCCCCTTTCTCTAGGAATAGCTGAACATCATGGTGTGCATCTTTGATTTAGAGTAAAGTCTTAAGCCCGGGTGGGCCCAGGCATGAATGAGACATTCTGTTGGAAAAATAAGTAAAGCAAAAAGGCTGGCGGCCTGGCTCAAGATGGTTCAGTGCCTGCTCAGTAAGTGAAGGCCATGAGATCATTCGCCCTTACCACCAAAAAAATAACAATGCTCTGACTGGGCTCCACCCCTTTTTGTACGCAGCTGGGTGACTTCCTCTTTTCAGCCTCATCCATTGCATGAGGATGATAATCACTCTCCTAATGCCTTGATGTTGGTTCAATCACAGCACTCAGCACTCAATAAGCATTAGCTGTTGTCTTTGTATAATACTATAGAGATTTTTTCTCCTAGATGTCCATGAGAAAAATTGCCAAGTCCAGACATAGTATTATTTTCCATAGAAATAGATCAGCCAGGTGCTGGTGCCTCATGCCTGTAATCCTAGCTACTCAGAAGGCTGAGATCTGATTATGTTTGGAAGCCAGTCTGGTCAGGAAAGTCTGTGAGACTCATCCTCAATTAGTCAGCAAAAGCTTGAAGTGATGCCAGGCACTGCTGGCTCACATCTATAATCCTCACTACTCAGAAGGCTGAGATCTCAGGATTTCAATTCAAAGCTACCTCAGGCAGGAAAGTCTGTGAGACTCTTGTCTCCAATTAACCAGTAAACAGCCAGAAGTGGAGATGTGGCTTGAATGCTAGCCTTAAGCAAAAGGGTTAAGGGACAGCATCCAAGTCTTGAGTTCAAGCCCAGGTCCAGGAAAAAAAAAAAAAGGCCAGAAGAAGAGTCATGGATGCTACAAGTAGTACAGTGCCTGCCTTGAGTGGAAAAACTAAGGGACAATGCCCAGGCACTGAGTTCAAGCACCATTAAGGCGCGTACACACACACACACACACACACACACACACACACACACACACACACACACACACACACACACACACACACACACACACACACACACACACACACACACACACACACACACGGAGAGAGATAAATGAATCAGCTTTCCATGTCCTCTACCTCTACCCATGTTGGAGTCCGATCATGCACCTCTGGTGACACACATGGAAGGTATGTGACTTGTCTTCCCTTCCAGGCTGGCACTTGGGGCGGGGCTCTGTCTCAGGTGTGGTGAGATTTTTTTTTTTTTACTTGTTCTGCCTTAAAAAGTCCTAATCAGAGAATATAAAACAGCAGAATCTGCCTTCTCTCCATACTAGAGCTGGTGCTGAGTGAAGTCTATACCTGGGGACTGATCCTATCAGTCACAAAACTTTGCCAACAGGACAATTCCTGGACCACTCACCAAGCCACATTCTGCCCTGGTTTATCAAGGAGTACAGATGGGGAGGTGCTTAAAATCAGAGTCCAGACTCTCTCTGGGAACATTAACTCCAATACAGTATTGCCTCTGATGAATTTTCTCAAAGTAAATTCCAATAAATATTTAACTATTATATCACATTTGGATGTTTGAATTTGTTTTTGAATTGAGAGAAAAGTTGCCCAACGATACTTCCTGGTTAGTTTTGGGGGGTGTGCGGTCTTTTGGCTGGGCCACAAGGGCTGTGTACATGTCTGGAGTTGGCACCCTAAATGCCCTGGCTTTGGGCATAAGCCTGTCCTCTGCAAAGGATAGAGCCAATTTTATAAAACCTGGGAAATGTGGGGCTGCTGAATCTCCAAGGGCTACAAAGTATGACAAAAGCAAAATTGACAAACGCTTAATGAAATGCCTTCAGAAAATAACATGTCAACTTCAATATTTGTTAAGTGTAGTATCGTTACAAATGTCACTATATTTGAAAACAAATTGTACATTGGATTTTTGGCAAAAGCTCTAGAAAATACAGGATGATGGAAGAGAAATCATGGCCAATAGTAAATTAAATGAGTTACTCATAGTCAAGTAATTGCAAAAGCAAATTTATTTTTTAAAAACTTGTTAGCCAGGCGCCAGTGGCTCATGTCTTAATCGTAGCTATTCAGGAGGCTGAGATCTGAGGATCTCAGTTTGAAGCCAGCCAGAGCAAGAAAGTCTGGGATAATTTTTTTTTTGGGGGGGTCCGGTTGTGGGGCCTGAACTCTGGGCCTGGGCACTGTCCCTCAGCTCTTCAGCTCAAGGCTAGCACTCTACCACTTGAGCCACAGCGCCACTTCTGGCTTTTTTCTTTTTGCTTATGTGATGCTGAGGAATCGAACCCAGGGCCTCAG